AGGCAACTTGGGTGCCTAGCAAGTAACTTATGCAGACCAGACCAGTTTACTCTCCAAGTCGAAAAAAGATCATTAAATTGCTTTTCATTCTATGTCACGGAGAAATTCGAGCCTAACGGCTGTCACAACAGCATATGCAATTGTCGCACCACTGGTCCATTCTCCAGCGTAAAACAGTGAAGTGAAGCCTTAACCAAAGTCTTAGCTGATATTTTTTATCAGCAATGGCTTTTTACAACCGTTAATCATCAGTGTGTACAGTTGGAGAGGAAATGGCCTAACAAAGAATCACCTAGTTTTTCAAGAAAATGAAAACACCATCTTTTTTTGTTACGTCAGCGGAAGGTAATTAAAAATGGTCAAAATGAGGAGGCTTCGCCCCTTGCAACCATCGTTCTTGATGGTTTTCAATTTTTTCAAGTCAAGAAATTCATGATCAATCTGTCTGGTTCCAGTGACTACTGCTGAGTTAGAAATAAATGTATGCAACAGTAGGAAGTAACGCAGGACACCATTCACATGCGTCTGTGCTGCATGTTCGCATTTAGAATAATTTTCGTCGTTTGTTACAGCGGGAACTTTGAAAATCCTCAGTTCCGCTAAGATTAACGACGTTTTAAGGGAAAAGCGAAGCATCAAAAAATCCTAATGAACTTACAAGTTTAGCCGACTGTGCTTCACCCTCGGCTTGTACGATTTTCTCCTGTCTCTGCTGCTTCGCTCGTTCGACCAGGAAAGATGCTCGCTGCGCCTCCTGTGCTGCAACCTGTTTTGCCTCCACGGCTGCTGAATATTGCGGTGAAAATGCCAGCTCAGTGATGGCAACATCGTCCAAAATTATGTTGAAATCCAATGCTCTTTCTGCAATCATGAACAATTTGCACAAAATGGACATTATTTTGCGTAAGATTTTGCAGTAAAAATGACTATCATCTAATAAAAGTAAGCAATTCATATTTATTAATAGTGATGCCACTTCACCACAAACTAATGTCATATGAGTAAAATCATCTCACTGATTATTTCACAGTTACAACAGTCATACAAATCTCACAGATTGGTCATGTCAGTGATAAATTCCGGGATTCTGGCGATAATTATTAGTTAATAATAAAAACAATCCATTTATAATAATTCACTTTGTCAGCAAATACCAGCTTTTAACTGTTATTAATAAAAGAACAACGGAAATGCGAAAGTGAAATGTGAACAGGCCGCAACACAGCAAAAAACGCGATATGGCAATGTTGAGACATGGTAAAAAAAAGGTATTTCAGGGGAAGCTAACAATCATGTAACAAGGAGGGTAAATATGAACAATTAATCCATAACATACTGACAGAACAGTAGAAAGCTCACTAGCGTGCGGTGTTGAACAGCTAATTAATGAAACTATGCGGATGCAAAAAGCACAAATTCGTAGTCGATGGGGAAGTTGCCGGCAGCTTAGATGAACATTCAAGCAATGAATTAACACTAATATTCCAGCTATCACACTGATTCATAATTGTCAGCATGAATGACGATGAATAAATGAATTACCTATCAGACCTTTACGGACAAGTAGAGAAACTTGCTGTCGCTGTGTGATCAGCTGCGATGCATTGAACTTTGCCACGACACTTTTCAGAACCTGAAAGATTTTATGATAGTGGACAACGGCCAAAAAACAAAATGACAAGTTGGCAAGCTGCCATATCACCGAGCTGGTTTTCTCCACTACACTTCAGCGCACAAAAAACCACCGAACAACTGCAAATTTGCACAGCTACATGAGTGAATGTCAAAAGCCAAAATCTCCACTACAACTAACTCTATTGAAAAGGCGGAAGCACTCGCACACATGAAAGCGCGTACTTACCGCGCCACTCACTGACAGACCTGCCGATGGTTTATTATTATCTCTGTTGCGCAGAAGCAAGCTGATGACAATTTCGATATTCAGACATCTGTTGGTATCAGTTTACCAACGAGTAGGAAAATCGCACGGTTCATTAATTCGTCTCAACGAAACGAATTAATGAATTGCGCGATCTTCCTACTGGCCAAGTCTTTCTCACGACTCTTAGCATGAAAACAGTACTCCTCGCTAATACACCACGTCTGCCACGTGCGAAAATGTTTAGTTGCTCTAACACAACATAGCATATTTTACATTCACATATACACACGAATGGACAAATTTACAAACTCGGCCTTTTTGAGCATTCTCCATATTTTCCTCTCTTCCCTTTCATTCATTCTTTTTTTAACATAGTCACGATTGAAGCTTACTTTCCAGCTTGATAGTCAAACTTTTGAAAGCAGTTTCCGAATTTCGCAAAAGAATCGGATTTTGTAATTTTTTCGTTTTGTGCGATTTTCCTTTTTTTTTTTTTTTTTTTCGTAATCACCCAACAAACTCGGCAGAATTTCCATCTCGGTGAGTCGAAAATTTCAGATATGCCAAATCATCAACAAACCTCATTGCAAATCGAAGGAAGTATTCTTTCTTCCCAGTTCTGCCCAAGCATTCGGTAAATTTTCGGCAGTGACGATGGATCGGGTCGTGACAATACTCGCAAGCCGATATTTACCATCTGAAATATCGGACGGTGTAAAAATTTAAGTTTTTTTGCACCAGAAATTTATAATGACACCTGTAAATCTTTGCTTCCGGTTGGCGAACGGATTTGATTGGGTCGGGCACGGATATCGTAAACAATTGGATACTGAAACCATGGAATGCGGAAGTGAAGGCCTTCTTTGTAGACTTCATCACCAACACCACCAATTCTGTTGAACATAATTGCTCGATGACCAGCATCAACTACAATCATTTCGAACATACACACAAGGAATCAAGATTTGAATGTAAAGAAACGGCATGGTGACTTCACGGATTTTCGTCCATTTCAAGAATATTCCATAACGAACTCGATGACTTATTTGCTAACCTTCCTTCAGCACTTTCTTTCTGTAACATGTGTCTGCGACGTAATATGCAAAACTGAAGCTAAAAAGCTGTATATTTTGATTGCGCTTTTTAGGCCGCAAGGCGCCAAATCGTATCCCAGGTGAGGTAAAAGTGCTTAATACATATCAAAGACAGCCCGGCATTGCTAAAAACTTGTCAAGTGCTTTTGTTGGAAGAACTGTTGTGCTAATAATCCCTTCAGGACAAGAAACAAATATCGGGTCCCCAGCGGGCTACTCCAAAGACAACGCAACACTACTCATAACAACTACAGAGGAGCTGTCAGCCGTACAGCTGGGAAATCAAAGTATGAATCAGTAGCTACCGTACGTATTCCGCTTCCCCATGCATCTTTACTTTATCTAGCCGAACAATTACCATTTCTCCTAATTTTCAGTGTATCAGTAATATCGATTGTTTTACTGCTCACGGTTAATAAGGTGCAGGAAAAACGATCGTCTAGTGCTTCGAGAAACAACGACAAGCACGGTACAAGCAAACTAATCATCAGCTGTTTGGCTACAGGCAAAACAACCACAGAAATACTGGCAAGATAGGAAGGAGTACTACGGTAAGGCAAAAAGTATTGCAGTACTTTTCAAATCACACAGAAATAAGCTAACATTCTGATTAAAAATCAAAACCTTTCCCGCATCACTGTCTGTAAGATGCGAGACACTCCGAAATAGCCCGAGCGATAGCAAATGCCAACAGTAGCCGTGTGCTCAGCTTATGACACCCCTTTCACAAAGCTGCTCACAAGCAAGCTGACGGCTGTTTCTTCAATCAATACTAATTTAAAATCAGGAAGATTGAAGGAGTCAAAGAGCGCCCAACTGTCCTACTAGTGGAATTCATCTCCTGCACAACAGTATGGCTAGTTGCCAGTGCACTAAAATTTTTGCATTCATACGAAACGGATTAAAACAGACTTATTTCATAATCAAACTCAATTCCAATTCCTTACTCATCCCATTCCCAGTAAACTGGTATGTAAAAGTGTAATTGCAATTTTAACTGGAACTTAATACAAATAACTACAGCTGCCTTTAAGTACTTTTAGTACAACGATTAGCATAAATGAATTTTTGGGAAATTACCTGAAAACAGCGACTCCTTAATGCCAAAGGCGGCTGCCACTGTACCTGCGATAATTGCAAGACCTTTCGGCCCCGCTTGCACCACTATCTTCTCAAAATTCGCCATTGGAGGCCTAAAAAATGAAGTCAA